TAATTTGTTACAGCACAACTAAACTGAAAGGAGTATTCTTTTCCTGGAAGGAAGGCCAAGAGAAGCCAGAAATCCACATAGGCCATTAGCCATTAAAGTCGTCATGAATGTTGGAAGGGTGGCACAGAAGACAATCATAAAAATAAGAATATGCACATAAAAAGTATACTTCAGTGTGTAGACAAGGAGGGGGTTTAAAACTGGATTTGTATTACAATATTTGTAAGAGAAAGCAGACAAGGAATCTCCTGCCATGCACATGCCTTTGATAGTTCACAGCTGGTGACTCCCAGTGATCCAAACATTAACAGGGAAGGTAAAAATTCACAACACAGTTTGAGTAAGGACTTTTCAGCTCTTAACCACCATACAACTATAGAATGCTGTGCTTCCAAAATCATGTTTATTCAGGTGTACTGGATGAAACTTAGGTTTCTGCTAAGGAAAAGAAATAAACATTTATTCCATAAGCAGAACACCAGCTTTCCATTTAATGTCCTCTCAACTACACACTCCTAATTCCTAGTAATTTCATTTCCAGAAATTGCTCTCCCCAAGGAATGAGCAAAGCAAGATCCACAGGGGCTTAGAATTCTGACTCCTATGATCTTTTGTTTGTGAATTACTAAACATTTCCTTCACTTTTGTTGACCTCATACTCTATCACATGAAACCAGTGAAATGTAAAGCAGTTGCTATTCCCTCCTAGCAACTAAGTCAGCAGTCCAACAGCACAGTGTGCTTAACTCAGACCAGACAGCAAAACTCAAAACTGCCTGAAAATAAGCATATCACACTTCAGGCCACAAATTGAGTTTGTTTTACAGTCTTTCAATTTAAAAATGGAGGAAGGAACATAATGACATTTTCCGAACCAACATTGCAGAGCTAACTGTGGACTTTTAGTCCCAGTCCAGTTTTTTGGTTTTTTTTTATTTTTAAAAGTTTGGAAGGGGAAGCCATTAAAGAGATAAAACCAGCAAAATTTCATTTTCATCCCAAGCTAAATGATTCAGCAAGATATTGCTACTAGATTTTTTTTTGCCTCAGACACTAAATGGGAATGCAGAAGTGGCCATGGACTTCTATAACAATACCACAGGCAGCTAGAATTCTAACATCTCACAAAATGTTTTAAACAACACTAGGAGTAAAAATAAATGTTCTCGCACTACTCTAAGGCAACAGCTCCAGGCATATCAGCAAATCCACTGAGAAGAGAATTCATCCCATTACCCAATCACAACACAGTCAACAGTTTTACTCTGGAGATCACCCAGCTGCCTCAGTGGAAAACAAGAGACTGCAGCTATCCCACTGTAAGTCTGGTTGCAGAATGTTTTCACACACACAAAGTAATAATTACATTGAAATCAGGGCACTTCTCTCTCCTACAGATGCCATATCAATAGTTGTTAAAAAAAAAAAAAAAGTCAGGAAAAGAGAAAAATAAGAGTTGTCTCTAAAAAGACAAGTCATCAGTAATCAAAATTATAAATTGTAAGAGATGGGAAAACTTAATAGAAACTGCAGAGACAATTAAAAAAACCTTCAACTTTAGGACAAGTCTTTCTTCTAACAATGGCAGTCAGCAAGTGCATTTCCAGTTGTATTTGGAAATTGGAGGGAGAGGTGTAACAGTGTTGCTACTTCTCTCTTGCCATTGCTATCCACATCACAGAAATGGAGGTGATTCCTTCTTCACTCACACTGACAGCCGCAGGGTCAAATTGCAGCTGCAAAAGGTTTTCTTCTCTTTCGAAACTGTACTCCTAAGACTTCAACTCAACTACATTTATAAAACACTTACAGATTTGTCTCGTTTTGGACAGATTTCTTGGTCATCATGTTCAGACTCGAAAGGGATGAAACAAGGTATTAAGCCAATTCTCTTTTATCTAAGGTTAAGATTTGCAGAACTATAAATTCCTATAATTTATAACACAGTGCTTGGTAATTTCCAGAAAGTCACATGTAGCCAAATAAAAATACCCAGGGACTAGCAGAGATGCTGAGAATCTTTAAAAAAAAAAAGAACTAAAATTTCTTTATCTTCTCTGGATACAAGTATAGCTAAAAGCATTATCAAAGTACTTTGCCTTTTTTTCCCTCAAAATTCTTTTGAAAATTAAGCTTATATAGGTCCTTTTCCCTCATTAACTTTTGAAGACACTGAGGAAGTACCCCACAGTTCCTGAGTTGATAAATTGCAAACCACTAATTCATCCACATCTAGTCATCCAAGAAGCACCCAAATTACAGGAGGGACCACTGTAGCTGACAGCCAGTCTCTGTAGACTTAGTCGAGATTTTTGTGCCTTGAAAATTATGTTCTCTACATACTTCATCTGCAAGTTAGGAGGTGAAGCACATTTGGAAGGCAGCATATGCAAAGCTTTAAGTGTTCCTGTATACTGAATAATTACTGTGCAAAAAAATGAAGTTCATCAGTCCCCAAGATTCTAAAATGCATACTACCCTAAGAAACAAATTCCCTTCTCAATATTTTAAAAGCTTATAACGATTTAGACTTTTATGTGTATTCAAGATCATTAATTTCATGTTAAGTCTCAAAATGGATATTCCCAATTTAAGAGAGAAGGTATAGCACACAGTAAACCCATGAAACAGCACTATCAACCTGATCATTCTCTAAAGCATTAAGATAGTTGTGGCATATCTACCTGAAAGTTAATCAAAGTTTAAAATTAACTCAAGCCATTTCAGTGGCTGTCACCTCAAATGGAAGATAATGTTGGATAAGAGATAAGTTAATGAAATGCTAGTTTCGTGGCACAGCCTGTTTCAGAGATGGCCTAAAGCCAAGATCTCAGCTGCTTCTCCATAATCAAGTATCCCAAAGCACATTTTCAAAACTGTCAGCATTTTTTGTTGTCGTTTCCTTCATCTCTGTCCACTAAGAAATATTCGTATATCTTAATGTGCATTTTAGATATTGCTAACAGTAAAGGTATTCCACCTTAGAGGACAAAAAAAACCCCAACCAAACAAAAAAGCTGCCACCTGGTTCTCAGATACAACTTTTTAAACTTTACAGAGCCTTTCTTCTGTAAGAAAGTAGGTAGTTACCTTCATTGCTATAAACTGCCAGTGATTATGTATCACATATACCTTTTCTATACAAACCACAGTTTGGACAACTGACAATTATTTTACCAAGCAATAGTTCTAATAACTAAATTAGTAATTTATGGATAATTTCACTATTATTTTCTCAGGAAAAAAAATATTCTTCTCAAGAATACAGTCTTTTCCTGCAATTTTAGGTAGTACATTGTAAGTTCAGAGTTAGATCCCCAAAAATAAAGAGGCTTTAAAGATCTGTGTAAAAAAATATATACTTTTATTCAGTTTAATGCATTCTCGTTTTCTTACTTTAACTATAGAGCCTAAGAAAGTTAAGGAAATTACCTGGCTTTTTAATAAACTGGGTGTGGGAGGGAAGCAGCTATCGCAACAACTGCCATAATCGTTAAGCTATTTCTGCAAGGCACCCATAAAAGTATGCAAAACAAGTTTCTTAGCAGAAATAAATCATACTAGTACAATTGTTATCTGAAAAGCAGCATCATTTCCTATAGCTTCAACTCTGCCAAACTTTAAATCTCTAATATCTATGCAAGGAATCCTGATGTTTCATGGCATATTTGGTGGATCAAAGCAGCTTCAGGATCCCTTCTAACTGTGTTGTCTCTTCTCACCCTCAATTAAAATTATGAAGTGTATGTCATAGTGCATCTCATTTACACCCTGTTCTTTATAATTCAACTACAAGCAATTTAGCTTTCTCTCCCCATTTGCTTTTTCCTTTCCCCATCCAAACATCAGAGGCACAAGAGGTTTTCTTCCTGTTTTTACAACCGCACTAATTCTGTCAGTACTGCCTGCCTGCATCCCCACATTTCATTTCAACTCATCTCGGTTTTGAGCTATTTATTCCAAGTGCCACAGGCATCATCTCTTTCCAAAACCTCTTCCCCGAAGTCTACAGTTGTTTCTCCCGTTTCATCACCAAGTTTCCTTCCGTGATTCCTCTCCTCTTCCTTCTCCTCGCAACGCCAGACGGAGCACGTTGCCATCTACCCCAGGAGCTGCGTTAGCGACAGAAGAGCAGACTCACACCGCAAGAAACGTGCCCCATGAGCACCGAGGAAGGAGCCGGGCGGACGGGAACCCCACAAAACCAGTTTAATGTGCAAGTATTGACACGGAGCACGACACGTCACGCCCCGGAGCGAAGCACAGCCGGGTCTCGGGCCGCCCCACGCGCGTGCGGCCG